GGCGCCGAGAGGGCCGGGGGCTGGAGACGCCCGGGACTTGGGGACCTCGGAGGGGGGCCTGGCGGGCGCGGGGAAGCGGGGGTCTTTAGGCCCAGGGCCCCGAAGAGGGTGGGTGGGTGAACCCCTACAGGGGTTGGGGTCAGGTGTCATAGATTGAGGACCCTAGGGTTTGGGGGCATGTGGAATTCAGGAGCCACTTGAGAGTCTGGGTGTCAAGACGTGGGATGTCTCGTTGAAAGGAAGAGGCAGCTGAGAGGGTGGTCGGACAAGTATTTTTCATACTCCACTTTTGTCAGTGTTTGTTAAGTAAACGAGCAGCGGACGGTGGAGTTGGAAGCCTTGCTCCGAGCGTGGGAGGAGGGGGGTTGGGGAGGCCTCAGGGGAACTTGTTCGTGTCTGCCCTTTGCTGCTCCCCCAGGTTTGCAGATGAAGAGCCCAGAAAAGAAGCGAAGGAAGTCTAACACTCAGGTGAATGGTGGGGGGCGCGCAGGCCTTCCCAGCAGCCCCTTCCCCGCTCCCCTCTCACTCCAGCGTGTTCGTGTCTTGGTCAGGGGTAGGGACAAGAGAAAGCCGTTCCTCTCCCTTTCTGGTTCTTTCCTTCAACTCGCTGACAAAAGGGGGCGGGGGATGAGATGATTTGGCAAAGGTCTCATCAGTCAGGAGTAGAACCTTCCTCTCCCATTCTTCCTGTCCTGGGGCCCTCACGATGACACCACTGGCCATTTACCTTTTCGGGGTGCCAGAGATCGTGTTCAAGTGCACGCCGTCCTCCGCTCTCTGTCGCATCCTCGGGTCCGTCTTGGCTTCAGATCTGAGTGGGCTGGATCCAGCCTCCAAGGTGTGCGTTGTGTTTCTGGTGCCTCCCTCCATAACCCCTTCCTCTCTGTCCCCCGCTAGGGTCCTGCCTACTCGCATCTGACGGAGTTCGCGCCGCCCCCGACTCCCATGGTGGATCACCTGGTTGCATCCAACCCATTCGAGGATGACTTCGGAGCCCCTAAGGTGGGGGGCACTGCTCCTCCCTTCCTTGGCGGTCCTGTCCCCTTTGGAGGCTTCCGTGTCCAGGGGGGCATGGCAGGCCAGGTGCCCCCAGGCTACGGCACTGGGGGTGGAGGGGGTCCCCAGCCTCTCCGGCGACAGCCACCCCCTTTCCCTCCCAGCCCTATGGGCCCTGCTTTCAACATGCCCCCTCAGGGCCCGGCCTACCCAGCCCCCGGCAGCATGAGCTTCCCCAGCCAGCCCTTCAGCCAGCCCCTGGGCCAGAGCTTCAGCCCTCCTGGTGGACAGATGATGCCAGGCCCGGTGGGGGGGTTTGGCCCCATGATCTCGCCCACCATGGGACAGCCTTCTCGAGGGGAGCTGGGCGCCCCCACTCTCCCCCAGCGCTTCGCCCAGCCAGGGGCGCCTTTTGGCCCTTCTCCTCTCCAGAGACCCGGTCAGGGGCTCCCCAGCCTGCCCCCCAACACCAGTCCCTTCCCCGGCCCGGACCCCGGCTTTCCGGGCCCTGGTGCGGAGGATGGGGGGAAGCCCCCGAACCCGCCTGCTCCCACTGCTTTCCCGCAGGAGCCTCCCTCGGGCCCCCCGGCCGCCACTGTTAATGGGAACCAGCCCAGCTTCCCCCCAAACAGCAGCGGGCGGGGGGGCGGCACGCCGGATGCCAACAGCCTGGCACCCCCCGGTAAGGCAGGTGGGGGCGCGGGGCCCCAGCCCCCTCCCGGCCTGGTGTACCCGTGCGGCGCCTGCCGGAGCGAGGTCAACGACGACCAGGACGCCATCCTGTGCGAGGCCTCGTGCCAGAAGTGGTTTCACCGCGAGTGCACGGGCATGACCGAGAGCGCCTACGGGCTGCTGACCACCGAGGCCTCCGCCGTCTGGGCCTGCGACCTCTGCCTCAAGACCAAGGACATCCAGTCTGTCTACGTCCGCGAGGGCATGGGGCAGCTGGTGGCTGCCAACGACGGGTGATGCTGGCAAAGCGGCCCAGGGAAGCGAAGTCCCGTCCTGCTCTTCCAGGGTGATTGTGTCCCTGTCTGGCTCTGGGTCCTTGCTGCCACTGGCTTCCCATCCCCCTGGGGGCAGAAACGCAGTGGCTCCTGGGGGCAGAAGAGGAACTCAGGTGGGCGGGCGGAGGAGCCTGGATCGCTCACTTTTCCGGAGACTTTCGCGTTGAGATCTACGGAGATCTGGGAAACCAAAGCCCCGCCGAGCGGAGCCATGTTTCGGTGGCTGTCTCTGGAGGCCTAAGGACATGGCTGCGAGAGAAGAGAGGCCGGGGGAACATCTGGAGGGCAGGAGGGTCCCCTCTGCGGATGATGGGCGGTCCCAACACCCGTGCCTAACACTCCTGTCCAGCCCCACAGCTCCAGCCTTAGTTTTTGGAGTTTAAGAGTTAACAGGTTTCTGGCCTGAGGAGTTGGGGGTCCCTTCCCATCGCTGCAGTAGCCCTCCCGTGAGCTCTGGGAGACAGCTTTAGGGGGTCACGGGGGAATCTTCCTTTTTCCCACCCTCCCCTTGCCTCCTCTGATACTGGCTGGACTCCTCCCCCTCAGAACCAAATAGCTTAACGAAGCAAGAGAGTTCTCGGCCACGGCCCTTCTTGGTGATTTGGGGCTTCGACAGTGGGTAAGAGACACGGTCGGGACATACCTCCCTCATACCAAAGTCACTGGTCCTTTCTCAGCCTCTCTTGTGCTTTTCTCCTAATGACCATTTTGCCAAAAATTGGGATATGTGGTCTGACAGACCAGAACATGTGAAGTTAAGTTTGGACAGCCCCGGGAGCCTGGACTCGGTGCCCCCCGCCCCCACCCGTCAGCGATGGGCTTCAGCTTCTTGGGCCTTCACTCCCTGGCTTGATCGAAGGCAAGCTTGAGAAGGGTGCAGAGCCCTCATACCTCATTTCTCCTGATGCCGGGATCCCCGTCACAGCCTGGGGTGGGGTTTGGGGGTGGCGTGAGACCCTCATCGCCGAGGTAGAGAAGCAGTCTGGGAACTGGGTGTTCTCCCTCCTTGCGATTCTTTCTATCTTGGGCCTGGTGAGCGAGCAGCTCTCGTACCTGTCAGCCAGAATCCTGCACTGGGCTTTGTTTTTATTTGTGAAGCACTATCTGCCAGAGATGGGCCTGGGGCTTGACCAGGAGCCCCTCACAACTGCTATTCTGCACAGCACAGTGTGTGCGCACATTCCTCGGGGTGGGGAAGGCGGGCCGGGCATGGCCCCAGGGGAGTTGGTGGTCCCCTGGATCCCAGCACACGCAGGCACGTGAATACCCGGTCAGCAGCCTTGGAGGCTGAAGAATAAAGGAGCGGCTCTGGGCTCTCTTCCAGTGCCCCCTCCCACTCTAAGACAGCAGAGAGGGCAGCCCCCCGCCGCTCAACTGCAGTTGTGTTTGTGGTTCTGTTTGCCCCTCTTATCTGTTGCTATTTTTGTGCCGTCTTCCCCCCTTCTGCATTTTGTAAAGTGGTTCTTGGGGGACACGTCTGCTCAGTCCCTCACTCCACTACTTTTTGGAAGAAAGTAGGGGCGGCAGAGATGCAGTGGTGGGGGTCTTTTGTACCGTTGGGTTAATAAAATGACTTGAAAATCCAGACAGGGACTCCTTGCTGTTCCTGTGCTGAGGTTGGAATGAACCATTCATACAGGGAAGGGCACCTGGGGGGCAGGGCTGAGGGCCCCTGTTAATGAGAATAGCAGAAAGATTGGGCCCTGGAGCTGGCCCTGGTACAAGCCACCCAGCCCCAGGAGTCTTGTGTGCCCCACCCACCCGTGTCCCTGCTGAGGACCGGTTTCTTTTCTGAGCACATTCCTGGGCTGGGCCTGGAGCCAAGTGGGAGCTTTGGCTCCAACGCCTCAGGGAGACAAGTGCCAAGTTAGCGGCTCTGGGTTTGGCGCCCACCCCCCAGCCCCCAGTTGTTTGGATTAGGAGTCAAGCGTAGCTCCAAGGGTGGAGGAAGGGGCTGCCCCTGGTCTAGCAGATGCCAGTTTGGGTTGTTTTGAGACCCCTCTTTTAAAGTAGTAGCAGTGGCATCCTTAAGCAGCCTGCACTGGAGCAGGGTGGGGAGGGGGGCGGGACGGCTATTTCCAACCCACGATTGGCCACCCTCCCCTCCCCCAGCCTGCAGCTGTTTCTGTCTGTCCTGGGACCAATCTGGCCCCTGTCCCTGTCGTCTTGGAAGATGCCACCCTTTGTCTTTCAGTTTGGAGTCTTCCCTCTAGGAACTAGACACTGAGAAAGGAGATAAGGTCACCCAAAATTCAGTTTGCTGGAACCCCAATCCCCACCGGAAGGTTAGCCCAGGTTTAAGGGCCGTGCAGCTCCCCCCTTCCCCGCCCCTGGCTCTCAACGCCAGCTCTCATTGGCCAAAAGTTTCCGCCCCCTCAGGGAAGTTGACTTCCCATTGGCCAAACCGTGGTCACATGACCGCCCTCTTTTCAGAGGCTGGGAATCAGGGGAGGCAGCAACAAGTTCAGCTGCAGACCGAGGCGAGAGCTGGGCCAGGTAAACCCCTAACGGGGAGAGGGCCCTGGGTCTGCTGGGGGGCGGAGTGTCACGGGAGAGGAAGGGTTGGCCTCCGCCAGGGACCCACGGAGCTGCTTGTCACTGCCGGCCTGGGGAAGGGGGACCATGGACGGCTGTTTCCAAAACAGGAACTCGCTCTGAGTCCCCCAGGCAAGGACTTGCGGCCCTAGGTCATTTGCTTTAGAGGTGTAGGGGTACAGCTCTTAGAGGGATTGCAGTGAGCCAGACCAGACTTCCCAGCTTTGTACGGAGTGGGAGAGCTCCCTCTTTAGCTGTGTTTTAGAAATAGCAGAAGCGTCTGACAATCCTTAGAGGATGTTTTTGTTCTGTCCTGCGGGGGGCGGGAGAAGCCAGGGGGTAGCGGAGGAGGGGGCGGGCGGAGGTGCGTTTCCTTCCAAGTGGTGGATGAGAAGGAAGAGATGTGAGGACCCAGGCAGAAGGGTGCAGATTAGAGAGCAGGAGGAAGGGACTTCCTAATAAGGCGGTGGGAGGTTGCTTGGGAGGACGGGATCTTTTGGGATCTTGGGAGAACCCAACCAAGAGAGAGGTGCCAGGGCTTAGAACCCCGAGTGCAGGGGTTCCAGTCTGTCTCCTGTTTGGGTCTCACAAGCGTTTGTCTTGTTGACCCAAATACCATTTCTGGTTTCCATGGAGACACTGGGTCTGACATCACTGGTTGCCATGGTTCCTGGTTCTGGAGGACCTGAGCAGGCTGTACATAGCCAGGGATAAACAGGGACTTCAGCCTGAGCTGCTGCCACTTCCTTCCTGCCACCACCTGTCATCAGTCACACGCAGCAACTGGGGATGGGGAGAGGATGGCAGCGGGGGAGGGGCCCGAGAGCAGAGGCGGCACAAGGGTGGCCCCTGGATGCCGGTAGAAGCCGATCGGGGTGTCCCGTGGATTTGGTACGGGGAATCTTCACAGCTCTCTCCTGTCTCCTTGTGGGATGGGTGTGTGTCTGGGAGGCGTGGGCATCCGGGAGGACACGGCTCTGTCCCAGCTGGGTTCTCGAAGGGCCATGGGAGGTTAGCAGGGCACCGTGCAGGACTTATATGTCACTCAGGGGCATGAACAGCGTGTGGTTCCCGAGGTGGGCCTGCCGTCTGTCCGCCCAAGCTCGCTCCCGTGTCCCAGGGTTCCCGAGTTCTCCCTCACTTGTCACCCTTCCAGCCCCTCAGTCAGGCATCATCCGTTATCCTAGGACCCGAGGGGACAGTCTGAGCCTTGGATGGCGGGGTAGGCCCCTCTCTTCTCACCCCGCACTTCAGGCTCTGGAGGCTGGAGAGAGTTCCCAGCCCCACCTGCCGAGTCACCGAGTCACCGTAGGTCGGCCGGGCCGGACCACAGCCCCGATTTTTGTCCCCGCTTTACCGGCCGTAGTCTTTCCACGTGATAGCTGCCTAAAGCCCTTTTCCCAGTCACCTTCAGGTTCCCTGAGGTGAAACTCTGGGGACCGCCGAGAAGGGAAGAGAATTTAGAATCGGGGCGAGAGCGACGGGAGAGCCGCCGAAGGTTCGTCCAGATGGAGCTCAGCAATGCCGGTTCTCAGCCCCGGCTGCACGCGAATCGCCTGGGAGGATTTTTATTTTATTTTTCTTTTCTTCCTTTTTTTTAGTTTGCTTTTTGTCTATCTGGGAGGTTTTTAAAAAGACCTGTGCCTGAGCCTGACGCCAGTTGAATCAGGATCTTAGGCGACTCCAGTGGGCGGCCAGCGTGGAGAACTAGACCACGCAGAGGACCGATGGCGGGGCTCCGGGAGGCAGGGCCGAAGGGGGCGTGGGGACTCGTCCTCTCAGCCCTGGGGGAGGACGGAGCGACTGTGGGGGAGCCTGGGGCGGTGAAGGGAGGGCTGGGCCGTCTTCCCCACTCTTCTTCCCTGCTGGTCTTTGTGAGTCAGACCAGTACCTTTCTGGGCTTCCTCTGCCCTGACCACAGCGTGAGAGAGTTGGCCGGGTTATTCCCCAGAGCCCTTCCCGTCCTTTGCTTCCTTGACCTCTCAAGGTCAGTTCGGTTTCCCAAGGCCCCGCTGTTCCCGGGACAGCCAAGCTACTCTGGCTGTCGCAGGTTCTGATCTGCAGGGCGGGCACTGCCCAGAAGCGCTGAGGTGTTAGGGTCAGAAGGCCTGGAACCAGGCTGTTTCTAGAAGCTACTTCGGAACCCAGGGCTGTTGCCTGCTTCCTGCCTTCCCTGAGGGGACCTTCTCTCCGCAGGTGACACCACAGCAGCCTCGGGGACCTTGGCAACTATGGCCTCCTGCCCAGACTCGGACAATAGCTGGGTGCTCGCGGGCCCAGAGGTAGGAGAAGCGGGCCTGGGGGCCCGTGGAAGCGGGATTCCTGCAGGGCGCTTTCCGGCTCTGGCGGCCCCCTGCTTCCCGCCCCCGCTACTGGGAGAGGAGCTCTAGTAGTGGGGGCGGGGGATCAGGCCCCCAGGACCATGCCCGGAAAGCAGGGCACCCCTGGGGCAAGCTGAGAGGGGTGGGGGGACCAGCCTGAGCCTGAGCGGAGGTTCTGAGGCCGCAATGGGAAAGGCTTTCCGGAGGAGACTGCGAGGGGGCCCGGTGGTTGAGGGGGCGACGTGGGTCAGACAGTGCCGAGTGAGGTTGGGGGCAGAGGCCGAAGGGCCAGCTCAGGCCTCATCCCTATGCAAAGTCACCGGAGGGCCCCGAGTGGGTGTCAGGACACTTGCCGTCTTAGGCAAGGGGGAGCCAGTGCGTGGGCTCGGTCAGTCCCGGGGAGAGAGCCTGCCATCCAGGTAGCAGTTAGTGGGACTGAAGCCCAGTGCAGCCCTGTGCTGCCAAAGCCACTGAAAAGGCAGAACGGGGACCTAGGGGCTGGAGGAAGTTTGTTACGGACTCCAAGCCCCAGGGGCTTGATCCGCTGGGAGGGGAGAAGCTGAGGAGCTGAGTTAGGGCATGGAGTCCCTTGCCCCGGAGGAGCCCATCGGGGGTGAGGAAGCTGACCTCGGGGTGACACTCAAGCAGGACCAACAGGCTGGGGCTCACCGGTGGAGGAGGACGGGCACCCTGCTCTCAGCCAGAGCCCTGGGGTGCCTTTGCTGACAGTGGGGCATTTCACCTCGGTGTCCTCCCCTATAAAAGGGGGTTGCGATTCTTGCCTCGTGGAGGTGGCCGTGAGCGAAAAAGGGTTTGAAAATTGCAAAGAAGCGTGCTTATTCCTGGAGGGATGGCGGGAGCCGGGGATGGGATGAGCGGGCGGGGGACCTGCTGAGGCGGAGTGTGCAGAGAGGAGGGGCTGAGCCTGGACAGCCCAGCTGGGAGCACCACGGGGACACACTGTCTGTGGCCGGGTGTCTGGGCCTCTGGGAGCGGCCACTGGGAGAGCTAAGCGAGGCGGGTGGCCCGTGGGGATCGTGACTGGGGCGCTCAGGTTCCTGACCCAGCGGACCTTGCTCTCGCCATCCTCCCACCTCCCAGCCGACAATTGGGTCGGTCGTTTGTGGGGAGGGAGCTCTGTCTAGCCAGCTTCTGGGTGGGGGGCAGGTTCGTACAGGGGTCCGGTGCCTCAGCCCATTGGTGCCTCCTCGTTTCACAGAAACTTGGCGAGGTTAGGGAAGGGCCAGACGTGACACCCCCTGAGCCGCCCACCTCGAGTCAGCTCACTGCTGGACCGCTGTTTCTGTGACGTGCGGCTTGGGGTTCCTGGGCAGTGCAGCCGGTCTCAGGGACCCCGGCAGGCACCCCGTGCTCCTGATTTTGTCCTTCCCCTGGAGCACCTCCTGCTTGTGCCCCTCCCCACAGAGCCTGCCTGTGGAGACCCTGGGCCCGGAATCCAGGGTGGGCCCGGAACTTCAGAGCGCGCCCCAGGCCCCTCGGAGCCCCTTCAAGGCAGATAGTGAAGAATTAGATGGGACCTCGGATGGCGCAGGTAACAGGGCCTTGCTGAGGGTGGGGCGGCGTCATCACCCTCTGTGTTCTGGGGTCCCCAGTTCCCTCAGGAGAAGGGAGGCCGGTTAGTCTCCCACGTCGGTCTCGGCTCTTCCTTCACTCTCTCCCGGCTTTTCCCTGCCCCTTCCGACCCGGCGGGGCCCGCGGGGGCCCGAGGGCTGTGCGGGAAGCTCCGCTGGGGGCCGCGGTGGTTTCCTCAGCCCTTTCTGCCATCGCAGAGACCATCTTCCCGAGTGGGAGCGCCCGGTCTGACGCCGTCCTGCCAGAAGAGGCTGAGGTCAAGGTGAGGACCGTCCCTTGGGGAGGGAAGGAAGTGGGGAGGGCCAGGAGCTGCTCACGGCTGTGTCTGCAGCAGGATGTCCCCGACGAGGATGGTCGTGGTGTGGCGTCCCCGGGCCTAGGAGACACAGCGGCCCAGGGAGACCTGGAGGAGACCCCCGTGCTTGCAGACCTGGCACCGGACACACAGGACCTGGAGGGCCAGAGCCCGCAACAGAGCCTGCCCTCATCCGCCAGCGCAGGTGAGAGCCCTCCTCGTCCCCTCTGTCACTGTCCTTCTAGGAGGTGTGGGAGTAGGATTAGCCATCACTGCTGAGCACGGCTCTGGGCCAGGCCCGAGGACGTAGTAGCTTGGCCCTAAGTTACGTCAGGGGGTCTTCACCATCCCTGAGGACACCGAGGTTCAGGGAGGTTAAATGACTTGGCTAAGGTCATACAGCTGTAAGTGGCAGGGTCCAGGTCTGCTTGACCCTTTCTCTCTGCCATGGGGGCTCCTCGTCGTGCCTCTAGAGTCAGCTGTCTTTCCCCGAGTCCCTTCTATGTGGCAGGTCAGGGCCCGGGGGAGGCGGGGGTGGGGTGGTTCAAGGCCTATGTAAGGCAGACCAGACTGAGCCAAGGTGGAAGTCAGCCCTGTGAGGGGTGCAAAGGGAGGTGTCCCCACAGGAGGGGAGGGCCGTTCAGCGGGGGGCAGGCAGAGCGGAAAGGAGAGGTAGGGACAGCTGGGGAAAGGTTCCCATTGGGGATGACGCTTACGTGGAGCCCGGAGCAAAGAGTAGGCTTTTGGGAGGTAGGTAGGATGAAGGGAACGTTCCAGGCCCGTGCTGCAGCATCAGCAAAGGCCTGGGGCTGCCTGTCCGTGCTAAGGAGGCTGTGCCGAGGGTGATCTATCTCGGTCAAAGGCGACAGGGCCGGGGCGAGGCCGGGTCCGGGCCACTCAGGAGGCGAGGCACCTGCAGTGGTCAGGCAAAGCCCCCGAGGACCTGGACTGAGGCAGACACGAGGCGCGTGGTGTCTGGGTGCGGGGTGAAGGCCGGGTTGGCTGGATGGCGGCGGTGTGCCTTTCCCCGGACTGGGGGGCAGCAGAAGGGAACCAGTGGGGAGGGCAGCGTGTTGAGTACTTGATCCTGAGGGACACCCAGGTAGAGGTGACTAGCGGGCAGGCAGGCGTCGAGGCCTGGAGCTCTGGGAGGCCAGGTCAGGTGTGACGGGTTAGGGAGTCGTCTCCTGTGGGGGCCGTCTGCGGTGTGGCTGAGACAGTGGGTGACTGTGCACACTGAGGGGAGCCGAGATGGTGGCGGGAGACCCACCTTTGCGACTGGGAAGAGCAGGGAGGGTCCGAGCAGGAGTGGCCAGAGCTAGGACGGACAGGGAGGCGGTGATGGAGCTCGACATGGGGGGAAGGTAGGTGCTTTTAGGCGGGAAGCCGCCTTTGTAGTTTGTAGACGGATAGGACTGGCCCCTGCCTCAGCCTGGGCTGGCGGTCATCGACTCCACCTGCCCCTCTCTGCGGCCAGGGCTGGGGGCCTCTCCGCGTCCGCTCCCCGCTGGGTCCCGTCTCTGCAGTGGCCTCACCGCCTCTGCCCCTCCTGCAGCCTGGGCTGAGGGGCAGGCCCACTGCACCAGCAGCGAGGACGACACGGATGTGGACGTGGAGGGGCTGAGGCGACGGCGGGCCCGGGACCCCAGCCCTCTGCAGCCTGTGAGGAGCTGGGCCTTTCCCTCAACATGTGCCTCCTCGGGGCCCTGGTTCTGCTGGGCCTGGGGGTCCTTCTCCTCTCTGGTGAGTGGCGCCCCCGCCCACCCCCCGCCTCAGCCCCTCCTGCCCTCCGCTCCCCTCCGGGCCTCGCCATGCCTCTGTCTGTGTCCTCAGGTGGCCTCTCCGACTCCGACTCCGAGAGTGGTGAGTGGGGAGGGCGCTGCTCCCTCGTGTCCGCCTCCCCCGTCCTGAAGGAGGCTGAGGGGGCGGCTCTCTGGTCAGACGCAGGGGGGCTGGAGGCTGTACCCTAACCGCTCAGTGAAGCCTTGTCGGGTGCTCGGGATAACCCTGGGCTGTCGCTGGCTGGAGCTCTCCGCGTGGGTGGGTCCAAGGCAGGAGAGGTGTGTGTGTGTGTGTGTGTGTGTGAGAGAGAGAGAAAGAGTGGGCTCCGTGTGCCTCGGGGCTGGTCTCAGACGTCGCTTCCCCACAGGGCCCGCTGAGGAAGTGGAACCGCGGGTCTCCCCAGATGCCGTGCTGGGTGCTGGGATGCTGGGCGCCGTGGGGGATGGGCAGGTAGGCGTGAACGTGTCCATCAGTGTGTAGGCCTGGGGGGGGCGCATTCAGGACGGCCTGGGCGTGGGGCAGGGTGGGTAGCCGGCTCCTGTGCCCTCAGGATGGCTTACGGCAGCAGCTGCAGGCCTCAGCGCTCCCTGACAGTGTCCCCGACCTGCAGAACATGGCCCTTCTGCTGGACAAGCTGGCCAAGGAGAACCAGGACATCCGGCTGCTGCAGGCCCAGCTGCAGGTGGGCGGGAGGGGCCGGGCCGGGCCGGGCCGGGCCGGGCGTCTGTCCTGGTGCCCTCCCCCAGAAGAAGCTCCCTGTGTTTAGCCGCACGCCTTGACCCTGGCCCTTTCCCACTGCACTCAGGTCACTGTCCTAGGTCCCCTCCCACTCCTCATGCTCGGGTTTAGGACGGGGCCGGCGTCGCTGTGTCATGGGCGTGCCGCCTCTGACTGGCGTGGTCTGCAGGGAGCACTGTGTGGGGAAGGATCGAAGGACCAGCCAGGGCGCCAGCGAACGAGGCTCTGTCGGTTAATAACGTCTGCTCCGGGCTGGAGGAGGGAAGCAGGGTGACGAGTGCCACGTACTGGATGTCCTTAGGTGACTCAGAGTGTGGGCTTTTATAAGGACGAAGCAGCTGAGGCTTGTGATGGAATTTGGGGCCCCCCGAGTCTGGTGCAGGCTGCAGATGGGAAGGAGGATGAGAACCACATCCTTCAAATGTCCCAGGCCGTAAAAGAGGCTTGGGCCACCTGCTCCCCATCCTGGAGCGGGACTGGGGTAGAAGGCAGCGGGCCCCTCCTGAGAGGACCCTCCTGTGTGCCCCCCACCCCGTGTCCATTCCAGGCCCAGAAGGAAGAGCTTCAGAGCCTGATGCGCCAGCCCACGGGGCTGGAGGAGGAGAACGCCCAGCTCCGTGGGGCCGTGCAGCGCGGCCAGGCCTCCCAGCGGGCCCTGGAGGCCGAGCTGCAGCAGCTGCGGGCCCGGCTCCAGGGGCTGGAGGCCGACTGCGTCCGGGGCACAGACGGGGTGTGCCTCAGCTGGGGCAGAGGCCCGCAGGGTGGCAGGGTCACCAAGGAGGAAGGCCCCAGGGGGCAGGAGCCGGGACCTGGCTTCCCGCAGCAGAAGGGAGGGCTAGAGGCGGAGGTCCAGGCACTGAGGCACGCGTTGGAGAGGCAGCAGCGGCTGCTGGGGTCTGTGCAGGACCTGGAGCGGGGCGTGGGGGACGCAGGCCGCGGGGACCCAGCCCACACGGGCCTGGCCCAGAAGCTGCAGGGCCCGGAGGGCTGGGGCCAGCACCCTGGGCTCTCTGCCAATGCGTCGGAGGCCTGGCATCACGGGCTCCCCTTCCAGAGCTCCAGAGAGCGCGGCGGAAAGGAGAAGTGGGGGGCTGGGCGGGGGGCCCGGAAGGCTGAGCACTGGAAGCAGGAAAAGGAGGAATCTGGCCGGGAAAGCAAGAAGAGCTGGGGGGGTGGGTGGGACAGGGAGCCAGCAGGGCGGTGGCGGGAGGGCAAGCCGAGGGCGGAGGAGTGGGGCAGCAAGAAGGATGGTAGGCGGCGGGGCCCCGAGGAGCCCCCCAGGAAAAGCGGGAGCCCCCACCCCTCCAGAGAACGGCAGAAGCACCCGCGGGGGAAGGAGGGGGCTGAAGACGGGCACGGTCCCCTGCCACTCTGGGCAGAGCTGTCCAGGCACAAGTACCGGGCGCCCCAGGGCTGCTCAGGCGTGCTCGAGTGTGCCCGGCAGGAGGGCCTGGCGCTCTTCGGCGTGGAGCTGGCCCCGGTGCGGCGGCAGGAGCTGGCCTCTCTGCTGAGGACGTACCTGGCGCGGCTGCCCTGGGCCGGGCAGCTGACTGAGGAGCTGCCCCTCTCGCCTGCCTACTTCGGCGAGGATGGCGTGTTTCGCCACGACCGCCTCCGCTTCCGGGACTTTGTGGATGCCTTGGAGGACAGCCTGGAGGAGGTGGCCGTGAGACACACAGGTGACGATGATGAGGTGGATGACTTCGAGGACTTCATCTTCCGTCACTTCTTTGGAGACAAAGCCCTGAAGAAGAGGTGAGCAGCTATGGGGGAGTGGGGGCGTGGAGTGCGGGACAGAGGAAGGAGCAGGAGGCGGGGGTCTGAAGGAGCTCTGCCCCGAGTGAGTCTGGGGTCTTCAGCTCGAGGCCTTATCCCCACTTTTAGCCCCGCACTGGCTTCCCTGTAGGAACTTCCTGGAGGCTGCCCTGCTTGCCCGGAGCAGCCCCGGGGGGTCCCCTTTGGGCTGGGCCCCATCCTGCCCATCCCGCATGGCCCAGGGGTAAGGGACATGTCACCTCTATCCTGGGAGCGCAGGCCTGGCTCCCAGTGTGATGAGTGTTGGCTGCCTGTGTTGGCTGCCTTGGGAAGAACGGGGCCCCCTCTCCTCAGAGAGCCCCTCTTCATCACATATTTTGACCTGCAAAGGCCACTTTCTGTCTCCACCCCGTGTCTCCCCTCAGGTCCCGGAAGAAGGACAAACACTTTGCGAGCCCCAGAGTTGTGGGACCCCGGGAGGAGCACAGCCACCACCTCAGGGGCTGAGGAGGCGGTTATCTGACCCCTGGGGACTGTTGAACTGCCATGTCTCCTGGCTTGGTCTCTGTCATTGGATGACCTTCACAGAGGAGAGCGAAACCACCCAGCTCTGCACCGTGCCACTTTTGCTAGAAAAGGCCTCAGCTGGGCCTGCCTTGCTGTCTATGCAAATGTATGCAAATGTATGCAATTAATCAGGGCCATGACCCTTGGCGGTCTGATGGTGTCACTGCAGTATAAAAGGGGCCCTGGTGTTTTGGGGGTGAGGGGCGGCATTCCGATTCTGAAGCCCAGCTTTCCGTGTGTGTGTGTGTGTGTGTGTGTGTGTGTCCATCCCCAGGCTGGGCCATTTCTGGGTACCCCCTGTTGTGCCCCCTGGGGTTTGAGAGATGCTGGCCTGAGGCCTAGCTCAGGGCTGCCCCTGGGGCTGTGTTAGATCCGCAGGCAGCTGTCCCCAGGGGGCGAAGTCCCCTTTCACCCTGGCTTCCCACGTGGCCTCACCTCCCGTTTGAGCTGCACACGCGGATCCCAATAAAATGCTGTTGGAGCCGCGAGGCTGTCACATGGGCTGTGTCACTTGGGGTGGTCTAAGCACAGGGTCGTGTACTGCCGCTCCCCCACCCCTTTCCTTTGTAACCCCTCATAGCCTCAGGCCCCTGGGGCCGGAACCGCTCCCCCGGCTCATAGCTGCCTGCCTGCTCCCTGCGAGGGTATGGGACGTGCGAGGGTATGGGACGCTGGGCCCGCTGGGCCCTGGGCTCCGATCCTGGCCGAGTGACCTTGGCCCGGCTGATCTCCGGGAGCCTTGTGTTTCTTTTTCTTGAAAAAGGGATGGAGGGGCTGGGGGAGGGACTAAATACAGCCATGAAAGCGCCACGCTTGGCCCGCATTTGGCACTCAAGTTATTTCGCTCCTGACCGGGTTTTGGAGGTGGGGTAGAGGAACCCCCCACAACCAAGCTTCGGCCTGGGGAGGTGAGGGGGCCACTAGGTGGTGCCCTGGCTCCACGGTTGCTCCAGACCTCACCTCCCCCACTACTGGATGCCCTAAATCTCTGACCGCAGCTGCCGACCCGGGCCTGCCCACTGGCTAGCTCCCTGGGGAGACCCAGGCGCCCTGGGCTGTGCTTCGGGAAGCCTGACTGGGCTTGTCGATGCCCTGGGTGTCCCTTCGCAAGCAAGCGTAGGGGACAGGATGCGAGTTGTGACTTCTCAGGTCAGGAGTGTGGTTGGTAAAGGGAAGGGAGCCTTCAGGCCGGGGTAGGACTGCAGCTGATAGCAAGTGCGTATGTGACACTACACAGGGCCACTCGCTGTTAAGGGCTGTGAGTGTGTCCTCTCGTTTAATTCGGCCTTGGGGCGGAGGGCGGCTGGGGGTGGCCCGGGGACCACTCTTTCTGTGGGGAGAAGGGCTGCAGTGTGACCCGAGGGAGAATTTCCGCCCAGGCAGAGGGTCAGCGGTAGGGGCCGGGGGCCCTGGGGACGCGCCTTCTGTTCCTGGAGAGGGAGCGAGCACAGCTCGGCCAAGGCCAGGGTGTGGAGCTGGTGTCCTGGCTCTGTGGACCATCGTCCCTCAGGAGGAAGCCATCTGCCCTGTTCAGCCTGCTCACCTGCTGCAGGTGGGGAAAAGGATGGGTCGGGAAGAAGGTGGGCAGGATCCTGCGTCTGGGCCTAGGGGAGGGAACACAAACTGGCCTCCCCGGGCTCCCAGAGGGCGTCGACTCTCACTCGGGGCTTGTAGGGTTCATTTCTACGGCCCATTTCCTTCGTTTGCATAACGGACTCTCAGGGACGCTAGGAAGTCCCCTGAGCGCCCCCTCATCCTCACCCACTCAGGAAGTAGAGATGCTGAGCTGGAGGTTTCTGAAACCGCTAAATCGCGGGGGGGTTGGGGGGGAAGAGCCAGGAACCCACGGGGCATGTCGGGGAGGGCCAGGATCCCAGGGACATTGGCCACTCTGCTGACCATCTCCCTGGGGCGCCCCGGCAGGTGACCCTCATGCCCATCACACCCATGTACCCACAACAGCGCTCGTCGAGAGGGTGCCCAGGTCCCAGGATGTCCTTGATCATGGGCCAGCATGTGGATGAGCCAAGGCGGGTGGACAGGGATGGTGCTCCCCCCTCCCCACCGGGCTTGGGGACAGCTCCTGGCTGGCTGGGGGACACGAAGCCTGTGGGCAGACCCGTGGGGCCTCCCGGGGAATGCTGGGTCCCCCGGGGTGAGCGCTAGGCTTTTTTGCCCTTTCCTCTGGGAACTCCCCCAAGTCAGAGCTCAGCTCCAGGGGCCTTGGGGGAACCACCAGAGAAGGGGAGAGGCCCTCTCGCGCCTTCCCCTCTCAAATGGGAAAATTCTACTGCCTCTGACCAGTCCCCAGCTCTCCCTTCCCAGCTGTCCCTGGTGCCGCCTCCCCCTCCCCTCGTTCCTCCGCCTCGCCCCGCTCTGGGTGGCTCTAGGCACCCACCGCACTGAACCTCAGCTCAGCCTTCTCACCGATGCCCCCTGGCTCTCCCTGTCCCCCTGTCCCCCAGGTCCACCAGGCCCCCACCTTTCCCCACTGCTTCCACTCCCACCCATCCTGGGGTGACAGGGTGGGGGCGGCGGCTACAATTTGGTGGTGGGTCACCGGAAGCTCCTAGAGGGTCAGAGGCATGTGTTCCTTATGAGAACTGTTCCAAGAACCCCTCCCCCTGCTGGGCCCAGGGACAGACGCTGGCCTGGCTGGCTGTTGCCATGGGAACCTCCCAGGGCCACCCTGGTGCGGGGACTTCTCATCCTGTCTTGTTCTGGGCTCTCCTGATGCCATCGCACTTCACATGCTCACAGCAGATCAGGGACACTGGGTGGGGTGCGGTGGGGGTGGTTATTGCCCTAAAGCCAGCCGACAACAGGTCCCTCCCCTCCCCTCCTACTTCACCACTGGCCACTCGGCCCTCTGAGCCACAGAAGCCCCTGTCACCAGTCCTCCGTGCATTGTCTGAGTTCCCCGCCCCCCGCCGCCCCCTTGCTGGTCTTCCCTTAAGGTCGCTGCCCTTGGCCCCGCCCATGTAGGACAGAAGCAGGGCCCTTCCTCACTCACTGCTCTTTATTCCGGGCCAGGGGGCGGCCCGGCCCAGCTCCTGGCTAACTAGACCTTTGGCCTGGGCAGGCTTTGGGATCCGAAACCGAGTCTCGGGGCTGCCCGGCGGCCTGCTTAGGGCCTTGGGCAAGACGCCCCTGGCACGTGAGGGCTCAGCTTTCTCATTAAAGTGGAAACCGTCGATAGCCCCTTCGTAGGTCGTTGTGAGGATAAAATGCGTCGCTCAAAGATAAATGGAAATTTTCTCAAACTGCAGAATACTGTAAAGACAATATTTATTTTTATTTTACTTAAGCTCTAAGGGGGCAGCTGGGGCCTCTGTGAGCTACTGATGTGGGAAGAGAGGGTGTTGGTCCCCAAACCTGCAGCAGCAGCTGGGAGGGAAGAGACAGCGAACCAGCCTCCAAGTCCCAACACAGGTGCTGAGGGGACCCCGATCCCTGTCCCTGAGGTTAACTCTATTAGTTCGACACAAAGCAGAATTTTAAAAGTATCTCTTAATGATGCCAAGGAGAAGTCCGCTGAGGTGAAGAGGGAGGAGGGAGTGGCCTCTGAGCTGGACCCTAAAGGACAATAGGATTTGCGATGGGGAGGGGATCTCAGATGGGATTCAGACTGAAGCCTCAGGGGAGGATGGAACGGGCAGTGGCCAGAGGGCTAATTTCGCGTTCGGGAGGAAGCAGATCCTCCCACAGGCCAGCGGCATGTCTAAGGGAGAGCTTTACCACAGGAAATGGGGAGGGGTGCCCCTGAAAGCCTTCGAGGGGCAAGGGATGCCTGTGTCGCTGGTGGCCAGAAGGATGGAATGAAGAGATGTGGAGTTGGGGACGTCAGCTAAGGACTCGGGAGGGAGATGACCGGGGCCTGATTTAGATGACGGAATTAGAATGGGCCGGCCTTGGATGGGACGAGGACAGGGGAGAAGTCAAGGACACCCTCAGCTCCCAGCCTCGTGGTGGGGGTGGGGGTGGGCAGGGATGACTGCATCCTCCTGCGATGCTGGGGAAGGAGGAGGGGCCGAGCTGGTTTTGTCGGGAGGGAGGGGGAAGCTGCTGGGCTTGATTTGCAGGATGTGAGGGTGGGGAGGGAGCAGCGCTCCAGCACAGCACCTCTCTGCTCTTACGTGTCCCGTCATGTCCGCCCCCCCGCACCCCCCTCCGCTCCTCTCCAGGACAGCAGCCATTTGGAGAAAGGCTCACCAGCATTCGCCTTCTCCCTCGACTGAGCCTGAGGGGAGAAGGGAGTGACCCTTTCCAAGCCAGAGAGACAGGTCACGGGGCCGGGGTGGGACAGGCAGAAACCTGAAGGCTTGTGCTGTGCAGAGGGACATGTTACATGGTGACCTGGAAGGCCAGTTGCCCAAGGGCCAAGCAGAGCCGCCAGAAATGCCTGCTTGTCTGGGCTGTGCCTTGGGACCCGCTGATGTGGCTTCATATAAAGGGACCAGTGCAGAAACCTGCGAAGAAATGGCCATCCCCCAACCCCCCGCCGACTCGGCCACCAACTCTTCAGAGCAGCCCCTCCGCGCCGGAGAAGCAGACCTCCAAGAAGCGATGGCCAGAGATGTCCCCATGTTACAGACAAAGAAGCTGAGAGAGATGGTGACTTGCTTAAGGTCCCGTCACAGCTGGACGGTGACGGTGGACCAAGCCTGGCCCCCAGGCAGCCTTTAGGACACTAGTGGACATTTGACATGTGGGGTACCGCTGCTCACGCCTCCCCTCCCTGCCAGCCGACCTGGATGCTGGAAGCAATGTCCGAGGGCCCCTCTGTGTGTCCCTTTAGCTGACTCCTCCTCCTCAAGTCTCTGTGTCCCCATTTTGGCCACCTGGGCACCTGGCCCGGGAAGGCCCCAGCTTGTGGGTCGGAGCAGGTCATTCCCGAACGGTCCTTCGAGAGTATCAGAACCACCTCTTGTGTTGTTCCGAGGTGGACACTGAGGCCCAGAGAGGAAGCAACTCGTCCAGGGTCACAAAGCTTGCTAGGGAGAGAGGAGACCAGAGCCCGCGGCTGCTGACCCCTGACCGAGAGCCCCCCATTTCCCCCTCCCCACCGCTTCCCTCTCTGGCTCGTCGAGCTCAGCATTTAGGCTGTGAGACCAGGTCTGGAGGAGCCGCTCGGACTCGGCAGGTTCTTTTCTCTCGTGTCCCCCCAGAGACTTCCCTCACAGCTCCGTCTGCAGAGACCTCTGGTGGCCACAGGGGGGCAGCAGCAGGAGGGACAGAAGCTGGGCACAGGGTGAGTGTTCCGTGGCTGATTGCTGAATGAATGATTGGTAAATGAACGGGGGCTCTTTGGGGAGAGCTGGGAGGCCAGGACTGCGCTCATGCAGCAGGAAGGGCACTTTGTGGGGTCCTCAGGGCTGAGACCTCGTCAAGGCTCTGCGAACTGAGGAGCGGTCGCCTGCAGGCACGGACCATGTCTGGGTGTTAAGACAGTGAGCAGGCTTCCTTCACTCTGGCCTCGACCTGACCTCCACGCTGTCCTGAGCGTCAGTGAGGCACGCCTCTCTTTAGGTGGTCTGCTCCGTTAGAGAGAGGCGACTCTCAGGGGTAACTGTGTTCCAGACCTCTGGGGCCAGCACAGGGCTCCTCAACCACTGTCTTCCAGACCCCATCAGGGGAGGGGGTCTGGCATCTCTGGCTTCTGATGTCAGTCCCCAAGACCCCTGTGGACTCCCTTCTGGGGTGTCTCTGTTCTAGTCAGACAACCCTGCTCCTCCCCTCCTTTCCCGCCTCACGCTCAGCAGCACCCCAGCCCTCAGACCAGCCTTTCTCCCCCCAAAATAGTGCCTCACATTTATGCAGCCCTATAAGCTTACAAAGGTTTTGCACACATCTTCACTTATTTGATGTCCCCTTGGTTGTGACAGGAAGGAGAGCAGGTGTCATATAATACAAAGAGCTTCATGGGCTAGTGGCGACCCTGGGAGCGAAGCACTGCTCTGGGCAGTATTTGAACAAGTGACCTTGGAGGGTAGTGTGGCTGACTGTGAGAATGTGCAGGTCGAATGGCTCCTGGGGATGACAAGGCTCAGGGCGTGTCCACGGGAGCCGGTCTGAGGACGAGAGGAGGACATCTGTGTCCAAGGCACTGAGTGGCCAGAGTTGGATGGACTGGCCAGGGCAGGGGGCAGGGGGGGGAAGTGAAGTCACTGAGAGGGACGACAGGACCTGGGTGGAAAAGACCAGGAGCCAGTGACCAAGTCTCAGTAAATGAGGCCAAGTCTCAGGATTGGCGGTCGGCAATCCTGACAGGGGAGGAGGGCGGGCCGGCCAGGTGGGCTGAGCCTTCAGCCAGTTTCCAAGAGGCAGGAGAATGGTGGTCTGGAAGCTGAGTGGGGTGGGCGGGGCACAGACAGATCCAGAGTTTCTGCTGAGCTGTGAGGGCTGGGAGAGCATAGAAAGCCTCCACGTGGGAGGGCAGGAGAGGACAGTGAGGTTCGGTTGGGAGTTGCTTAGGGAGCAGAGGAACCTTCTGAGAGGCTAGCACGTTTCTGGTCAACAGGGGTACCAGGGAGCTCCCAGGGGTGTGGTCAGGCTCAGGTGCGCGCGGGTGGGGGCGTGGGGAGGTGGGGACACTCTAGGAGGAAGTCCTGAGTCCATCCTAGTGGTGACTCAGGGAAGCAGGAGTGTGAATGACATTCACCCTTCCAGTCTCCGCGGGCGGAGGTGGCGTTTGGGCTTTTTGCGGAGTCCCAAATAAATGCTCTTTGAAGGTGAGCTGGAAAATCTGATCCTGTGTTCAGTTATGAACTCTAAAACCACAAAGTGCTCAGAATAAATAACAACCCCACATTTGGATGACACTTGAGAATTCACAAAGTATTTCAGCTGTCTTTCACCGTACATTTTCCTCATTTCCTACCTAGTGCAACCCTGTGAAGCCCGCGTTATCAATGACGGAAGTCAGAGTATTTGCTAAAGGTCACATCCCTGCAGTGTCAAAGCTGGGATTACACTCCACGCCGCGCTGCATTCTAAGTGCATTGATGGTTGCAGCGCTTTCAGAGTTGCGTTAAGAAGAAAAAATAAAGCCCTTCCTGCAGTCCGTTCTTTTTGCATCTGACCATTGACGGCTCCTTCCTTAGCTTCTGTGCCATCTTTTCGCTTTTCAGGGAATTAATGATTTCTCAAAGCAGGCCTCCACACATCACTTTTTCTCTCCGCATGACCTTAGAGCTCCTAAAACAGAGACAGTGACGGTTACTGGCTCTGTTTGGACAAGCTCGGAGAGATGCAGGACAGCGAGTCAGAACAACTCCGCTTACCCAGCTGGCACCGGCTGTCAGCGGCTGTGCGCAGAACCGGGAATTCAGGGAGGGGACAGACCACCAGCCCCCCTACTTCCGCCCCCGAACCCCTGGCTGGGAGCTGGGCTCCGGATAAAACTAGGTAATATCGTCCAGGAGTGGCTTCAAGGCCCTCGTTTCACCTATACTATTGATGTCACCCACGTCATTCCAAACTCTGGCTTTCGAAAACCTTTGGAGAGGAGGCTGCGGTTAGAAAAGCGACGTTAACTTTTCCACTGGGCTTAAAGGGCGGGACTTTAGCGGCGGGTCCAGTTATAAAAAACCTGCTAAACAATGAAACAGCGCGTTCGTCTAAGCCCCGCCCCAGGGTGACGTCACCAGACCCGCCCTCTGCGTCGGGGCCTGCGGCACCTTCGGGAGGACCCATTTTCACTGTGGGGCAACGACAGATTTGCTTGAGCACATGCATCGAAACGAGCAAACAGAAAGGCAGTTTGGAAAACTTCTTCCACATGGTCACATTTACTCCCTTCTTCCGTAATATCTGTAGGGTTGTGCGGAAGGAACGTGAAGTTCGCGTCAGGCAATTTTAAGATGTCATCTCCCCCGGGCGGAAAATAGTTGCGTCCAATCCGGGCCCGGCGCCCGTCGGCTGAGGAGGCGGGGCTGTGACGTCAGGCCTTGGGCGGGGCCGGACGGTTCCAAATGAGCGCCGGGAGGGGCGCCCCTTCCTTCAGCGGAGCGGGCCGCCCCGGGGCCTGCCCTCTTGGCCTCCTCACTTCATTTGTGTGGACGTTAATTAAAAGTTGCAGGAGCCGTCCGCGGGCTGGCGGCCCCCAGCTCCGCTGTGGAGGGGACGCGCGCGGGCCCCCCTCCCCGTCGCCGCCCCGTCTCGTGGCTGCATCCACTTCGCGCGGGCGGCGCGATTTAAGGGCTGGGAGCCGATGGCGATCTTTAGAGATCGCAAAACGAAGGGACACCATGTCCTCGCTGGGAGGCGGCCCGCGGCTGGTGCTGCTCTTCAGCGGGAAGAGGAAATCCGGGAAGGACTTCGTGACCGAGGCGCTGCAGAGCAGGTGTCTGTGGAGTAGGGGGAGGACATACCGCATCACATGACCCGAGGGGTGTGATGGCGTGAGCTCCGTCTGGAGTAGAGTGCTCCAGTTGAGGGGCGGGAGGAGCACTGGGCGGCGGGAGGTGCGGGGTTGTCACCAGCACGTAAAACGTAAAACAGCCGTCTACACACGCCCACCCTGAAGAACCAGGCGACTTCTTCTTGCAGACTGTAAGCTCTAGCTCTCTCTGGCCCAGAAGCATTAAGTCACTGCCAGGGCACCTTTTGTATACCGTTCCTAATCCACGCGACAGTGTTGCGAGGTAACTGTCACAGATTGGGAAACTGAGTCACCGATAAAGGATTTGCCTAAGACCGCACACTAATTGTGTCTGACTCCAAAAACAAACCCTTGTCCGGCACACCACCTAACAGCTGGGCTTGATTGTGTCCCAGGCTTTATTGTGTGTATATATTAGCTCATTTAAGTCTCAAAATCTCTGTGTTAGGGACCATGTGGTTTATAATTATTCGATAGCCCCATTTCGCAGATGAAGAAACCGAGGCTCTGAAAAGTGAAGAAACAAAAACAAAATCCAAACTCGCCGGGGTCACAAAGTCATCCGCAGATCTAGGACTCAGGTTAAGCTTTAGTCTAGCTCTGAGGAACAGGTTCTTTCTGCTTTACCTCACTGCCTCCCCCAATAATACCTTTCTGTCTGTTTTCTCTCAAAGCGAGGTGTCCTGTGGGAGCATTTTGCTGACTCATGGGCTGGGGGAGGAGAGGACCAGGGAGAAAGCAAAGTGGGGCTTGGCTCCTCTTGAAGACCAGTGTGGTGGGGGTCCCCGGAGCCTGCTTTTGGGCACCGCAGGGCTTCTGAGAGGTGGCGGTGGCCCAGGGCAGAGGTCACCACCTGAACCTTTCACCCCCAAGTGTCCACCACCTTTTCCCAAGTTGACCTTTTCCCAAGTTGCATTTCTCCTTAGCCCCAGAGGCAGAAGTCAAAATGTGGTCAGGAGCACAGTCAGGAATTAGACTGGGATTCAAAGCCCGACTCACTACTTACTAGTTTGTGATCTCGTTCATTTCTTATCCATTCCGTGCCTCGTTTTTGCCATCTGTGGGATGGGGGTATTAATAAGGTCGTTTTGAGGATTAATGAGGTAATATACTTAAAGGACTTAGAATGATTTTTGACACTTAGTAAAGGTGCAGGGACTGGATACTGGATGCTATTTTTATTTTACCAAAACTTGCTTCATCACTTGCCATGTCGCTTTGGGCGAGTCAGTTCTCGCTCAGCCTGTTTCTTCATCTCAAATGTGGACGTAAGAAGGCCCGTGGGACACGTCAGTGTTTTATTGAACTAACCTGGCCAGAGTGTCGCCAGGCCTGGATTTTCTCGCTGTAATTATAATTTTATTCCTTTTACCTGTGAGTTTCAAGCTCTTTCACATTCGAGTTGCATGATAATCCTGTGGGAGACAGAACAGAAACAGTATCCCCATTTTACAGATGAGAAAATAGGATCAGAGATGTTAAGTCCCGACAAAGTTAGATGTCACCCCAGGCCTCCGGGCTCCCCCGGGGGCCTGGGAGTTCTGGGTAACCGGCTTGGGCCTCCCCGTCCCGCAGACTCGGGGCTGATGTCTGTGCTGTTCTCCAGCTCTCGGGGCCTCTCAAGAAGCAGTACGCTCAGGTAGGTGGCGGCTCGGTGGTGTCTGGTGGGTTGGAAAGAGCCAGCTCCCCGGCTTGGGTTGCTGTGGCTGCCGCTTCAGTCATTAGCGGGGTCCCTGTGACCACCGTTGGCAGGGTGGTGGCCACCTCTCGGTTTTCTGCGCGTGGGCCTTTTGGGGGCGTGTTCTGCTTCTCTTCCTTTTCTGCTGGCCTCACGCACTTCAGGCCCCTCCCCAGGGCACGCCCAAGAAAGTGCGCCCAGGAAAGGCTGGGGTGGGGGGGTTGGCAGCTCTGTGCTGTGCAACGGGTAAGGGTCTGCACAGGTCCCCTTAGGAGGCAGGACGCCGCACATCACCGCCTCGGTGGCCGGCCACAACCTCGGCATTTCTCCCCTTAGAAATTCAGTCGCACAAGTGTACAAGATATGTTTTTAAGAGAAAAACAAACAAACAAACAAACGAGATTTGGAACAGGGTCTAGAGAATGCCACATTTGTATAAAAATGGGAGAAACCTGTAAACATATGTGCTCGTATATTCAGCCATCCAACAGATATTTACGGGGTGTGTGTTTGGTGTTGAGCCCTGTTCCCGGTGCTTGGCATGTGTTAAAGGTGGAGAAGGCCACCCAGGAGACTATACCATTGGTGGCTTCCAGGGAAGGGGCTATGTGGCTGGGGGACTGGGGTGGGAGGGAGATTTTTCACCGTAAATGAGTGTGTGGGGTTTGAACTTTGAACTATGTGGATTTCAAAAAACTAAATAGGGTTGTTAAAATAGGCTTGTAAAAGCTCGACAGAAACTCAGACCCTTAGCCTCCCGGACGGGGTGTGAGGGCGAGGTTCTCACACAGGGAAGCCCCCTCGTCGCCTGCACTTCTGTCCGTGACCTCCAGGTGCCCCCGTCTGGCACCTATGCTCCTGGCTCCTTGGTCAGTTAGCCTGAGCCTGGCCTCCTGGGGCCACACCAGGTGAACTTGCCCCGTTTTCCGTGGGACAGCCCTGTCTCCAGGGGAAGCTTCCCACTGTGCCACTGGGTCTTCCCCCAGCGGCTAAACAGACCTGTGCATAGATTGGCAGCCGGGGCTCCCTGGGGACAACAGGGTCAGCGGGCTTCACAGCTGTTTTAGTAGGAAGCTTTGGACGCAGAAGTTCCAGTATTCAGCAGACAGGCTGGGAGCCACCCGCCTTAAAACAGAGGCGGGGCCTGGACACTGCTCCCCAGGGGATCAGAGCAGCCCCTCCTGTCCCCGGGGTCCTCTGAGTGAGTGTGTTGGGGGGCAGGAGTGCCCGCAGCCAAAGGGCGTGGCGCTGTCTCAGCAAAGGTGCCAGGGATCTGGGGGGGGTGGGGAGGGGGAGAGGGGAGTCTGGGAAGCCAGTCTCCTGGGCTTTGGGATGGGGGCGAACGATGCTGGAGGAGGCCCTGGGGGACGGGACGCCGTGTTTCAATTTCCCACTTTAGTTGAAGGCTCAGCCTGTGCCCAGGGGAGACAAACGAATTTCAGGATCAGTGCAAGTCAGAAATAATTGAGAAGGTAAAAGGGTTGCAAAAAAACCAAACTAAACCAAACCAAACCGAAAAAACCAAACCACACTACGCATTTAAGAGGCCGAGTGGAGCAGTTTCTGGATTTTCCCGAGACCGCCCTGCCATCTGCCCGTGCCCGTGCGGGCCTCTGACCTGGCAGAACCCTGAGTCCTCGTGTCGTCCTGGGGGAGGGCGGGCGAGAGAAGGGGCGGCCCCCCCCTGTTTTAGGAGGGACCAGAGAGGTGGAGAGGCTGGGCATGTAGACGCAGTGTGCTTTGGGCAGGAGCACGGCTTGGACTTCCAGAGGCTCCTGGACGCCAGCATCTACAAGGAGGCCTACCGGAGGGAGATGATCCTGTGGAGCGATGAGAAGCGCCAGGCCGACCCCGGCTGCTTCTGCAGGAAGGCGGTGGAAGGCTTCTCCCAGCCGGTCTGGGTAAGAGCGCGGGGCGGCGGCATCGAGAAGACCGGGTTCGCCTCCCACCTTTCCCCGGGTGACTCTCAGCCGTGTCCGTGTCTGTTTCCATGGCGACCTCCCGTGGTCCAGCCCCCACCGTCTGGCCCGTGGACAATCGCAGTGGCCCCCACACTGGTCCCGGCTTCAGCCCTTGTCCCCGCTGATCCGTTCAGCACGTAGCAGCCAGAGTGACTTTTAAAGGCATAAACCAAGTCACGCCACCCCTCCGTTGAGGGCCCTTCGTCCCACTGTCCTAACGAACAATCGAAACCCTTCCGTGGACTTCCGGGCCTGGACCGGCCGGCTCCCGCTGCCCTTCAGCCAGCGTGCTCCTTGAGCTGCAGCTGCGCTGGCCTTCCCGTTTCACAGATAAATCGAGTTCTTTCTGGAATCGGGCCCTCTGCACAGGTCCCTCCACCTGCCACATGGCCCTTTCTCTCCCCCTCCCCCTGGCTGGCTCCAGCTCGGCTCACACGGCACCTGGGCGAGGCCTTCCCTGACGCCTCGGTCTCGGGCGGTGCTCGCCTTCAGGTGCTCTTTACCCTTTTCCTTCCTCGTCTGTGCTGGCAGCCAGCATCACCTCCTGGGCAAGGCCTGGTGACTTGGGGACATATCAGGGCAAACCTGCGATGACGCCCCCGCCCTCAGGGAGTAAACATTGGAGCTGGGGAGAGGGGGAGTTAGGCCCTAAATCAATACAGAATCTGTCGGGTGGAGAAAAATGCTGAGGGGCGAAACCAGGCAGGCCAGGGCCCTGAGGAGGGCCGGGCTGCTGCTTTATTAGGGGTGTCAGGAGGGCTCCGATGGGACATTCGAGCAGGATCTGAGGCAGGTAAGGGAGTGAGCCGAGTGGGTGTTTGTGGGGACGGGTGAGTGGCAGGAGGTGAGGTGAGGTCATGCAACTTCTTTGGAAGAGCCTAGGTCTTTCTCCGTGTGACACGGGGGCTGAGGGGGGGTTTTGAGCAGAGTAGAGGTGCGGTCTGGTCTCAGGCCCCTCTGCCGGGTGGGTGGAGTGGCGGGGCCCGGCTCGGAGCGCCACGGTGGGGACAGGGTGGTTTCTGCACACCCCTCGAACATGGGATTTACTGGTGCATTGTCTATAGGGTTCGCAGGCAGAGGCGCAGCCAAGGATTTGGTCCTGAGCAGCTGGACAAAGAGTTGTCATTTTCTGAGACAGGGAAGGTGTAGGGAGAAGATCAGGAGTCCGTTTCGGCAGGGGTGAGGTTGAGGTGCTTGTTGAAGTGCACCCTGATCACGCAGCGACCCGTGAAGCTGCTCGCTCCGTGTCTGTCTCCCCAAGACTGGAGGCTCCGAGAAGGCAGGCAGCAGGTCTGCCTCGCTCAGCGCTGTCCCCAGCAGCTGGCACACGGCAGGTGCTTGCCGCAGTGCGTGCTTGATAACTGGGTGAATGAACGTGGCGGCTGCACGGACCGGAACAGCTGGCCTCTGTGCGCGGCTTCATTCATTCATTGACCACGTGCTCCCGCATCAGACCGTGCAGCAGTGAGTGAGCCCAAGTCCTCTGCCTCGTGGGGCTGACTGGCTGTGGCAGACTGACGGCACACACGCACACGCACACGCGCACACACGCACAGACGCACGCACACACACGCACTCACTCGCTCACTCATAATCAGGGATGAGTTTAAGAGAGCCTAGTGCTCGGAGGAACATAAACAGCATATCAGCATCCAGAGGGACAGGAGAGGTGCCCGGGCGGTGGGGAAAGCCTCCGAGGAGGTGACGTGTGAGTAGAGACCTCCACGAAGTCTCTGCTCCATAGACACACGCACAGACGCACGCGCGCACACGCACTCGCTCGCTCACTCATAATCAGGGATGAGTTTAAGAGAGCCTAGTGCTCGGAGGAACATAAACAGCATATCAGCATCCAGAGGGACAGGAGAGGTGCCCGGGCGGTGGGGAAAGCCTCCGAGGAGGTGACGTGTGAGTAGAGACCTCCACGAAGTCTCTGCTCCATAGGGAGCCTGCCTGGAGATCCAGGTAGAGGGAGCTGCAGGCACTAAGGCCCTGAGGGGGAGCCCCGGCCGGCTGGCTGCGGCGGGTGCGTGAGGGGCTGACAGCGGGAAGCGGCTGCTTCTCGCGGGGCCTTGTCACTGGGGTGGGAGCTTTGCGTTTCACTGGAATGGTGCCGAGCCTTTGAGAGGTTCAGGGCAGTGGGCTGACGGAAATCACATCTATGTCGTAAGGTGCTGGGGACAGGAGCCAGGTGGAGATTGTGTCAGGCCTCAGCTTGCTCGTCTGTAAAATGAGTGTGTCGGGCTGGCTGAGCTGGCTTCGAAGCCTGGGCCTCTTGCACAGTGGTGAACCGGCCCGACCACAGAACACAGTGTGTGAGTGGCAGAGAGTGTGGGCGAGTGGGCCGCGGGCTGCGGCAATCAGGGAGGGCTGCCGGAGGGAGGAGGGGCGTCTGTCCCAGCTGGTGGTAATGGGAGTGAGGTGACACTTTCCTGGGTTCTGTCGACCCCCCACCAAGTCCGCCGTCCTCCTGCGTGTCCAGGGCAGGGCTGGTCTCCCCCTCCGTCTCCTCGTCCCCAGCGCCCTGTCCTGCTCCAGCTGCACCGTGTCCCCTGGGCCACCTGTCTCTGCCTCCTCCCTGCAGCTGGTGAGTGACGCACGGAGGATGTCTGATGTCCAGTGGTTCCGGGAGGCCTATGGGCCTGTGATGCAGACGGTCCGTGTGGTGGCCTCGGAGCAGAGCCGACAGCAGCGGGGCTGGGTGTTCACGCCAGGTGAGCCGCTCACGACCTTTGTCCCCAAGGCTCGGTCGCTACACAGGCCGGCCACCCCACCTGTCGGCCAGGCCACTCGCTCCCGTGTTTAGGTCATCTGCCCTCGCTGGCGGGCTGTGGGCAGCGAGAGAAGGGTCAGAGCAGGGAGTCTGAGGCCCAGGGCTCAGGGGCACCCCAGGTTAGAGAGCAGAGTGGGGGGCCGGCGCCCTCGGGGTAGAGGTTTGCCGAGACCTTGGCCTGCTACCCTTCCCTGGGCTGTCTTTTCGGGGCCAGTGGGCTTCCAGAGGCCCGGCTGGGACCTGCCCCCAGCGCGGGCCTGGCAGCGGGTCAGAGGGCAGGCCTGTTGGCTCAGCATCGTGGCGGCAGGTAGCAGGAAGCTGTCGCAGGCGGCCCGCGTGGGGCAAGCCCACGACCTGCTCTGTGGCAGTTCAGAGGCACAGCTCAGGCCCCTCCTGCCCTCGTCACCATGACGTGGGGAAGTTTGGATCCAGGGGGCACGATCCCTCCCGAGGGCTGCTCGTTTTCTGGACACTGTCCACAGGCCAGGCTGGGGCTGAGAGCTCTGTGTGTCACCTTAGAGACACACAGACCTGCCAGGTGATGCCGGTCACCCTTGTCATTGTCCAAGGAGGAGGGCACACACTGCCTCCCGAGGAGAGTGAAGCAGGGACCGAGGGTGTAGTGACAGCACAGTAAACGTGATGCCCTTGTGGCTCGTCCGCGGTCAGGTGGCCCAGTCCACTCTCGTGGGTGGGACCCGCCCGGGGCACAGGTGGCTGTGAGCCGCTGAGCCGCTCGCGGTGTTTTGGGGGGCGGTGGGGGGAGGCCCTGGGTGTGTGGAGAGGAGGGCGGCTCCGCCCGGGGCCAGCCGGCCTCCACGCCCGGTGCCCGGTGCCTGGTGTCCATCCAGACGGGGCGGGCTTGACCTCGCCGTGCCTCCTCCACAGGGGTAGACGATGTTGAGTCCGAGTGTGGCCTGGACAACTTTGGGGACTTCGACTGGGTCATCGAGAACCATGGAGATGAACGGCGCCTGCAGGAGCAGTTGGAGAACCTGCTGGACTTCATCCACTCCAGACTGTAGTTCCGACTGTAGGGAGCGGCAGGGGCTGCTGGGACCGAGCAGTCTGGCTCCGACTGGTTGCTGACACTGGGCAGTGTGTGGGTCTAGAGTTTCGGGGGGCTGGCAGGTGTCAGACAAGTCAAGACACCTCTTAGACCTCATTTCTTTGTGGACTAGGCGGCCCTGCCTCTTTGGAGGAGGCTTAAAGGACCGAGTGAGGGGAGACTGGCTGTGCTTAAAGCAGAAATGTCACCATCCCCAGGGTGCCCAGCCCGTCCACCTGCGGTGGCCGCACTGCCTCCCAGGGTCCTTTCAGCTCCTCGGTCCGGCAAGAGTGTGGAACGTAATAAACCTTGTTGCACATGCTCAGAGCCGGGCAGCTCATATTTCCTAGACCCCAGCCTGCGTGGAGCCCCAAGGGGCCTGGGCTGTCCTGGTGGCTGTGGGTTCCCGCTCTGCCTCCCACCGAGGCTGAGACGTATCCTGCAGACGTGACCTCGGCCTGGGCCATGCAGGCAACAGGTCTCTTTGTGTTGGAGACAGGATTGGGGTTCAAGGCTCTCATCTTCTGTGACGGCCTCAGGAGAGGCTTGATCCAGAGGGATGGAGATCTCATTGAGGGGCACGGGCTCCAGAGGTCAGAGTCTCCACATAACCACTGCGTGGCCCTTGGCAGGTCACATCACTGCGCCTCAGCTTCCCCACGGAGGGCCTTGGACTTGACCCCTTTTCCTTACACAGCCTTACACGGTGTCTAAGCGTCTTGCGGCCTCTTCCCAGCCGCCCTGGGGCGTGGGCAGGAAGAGTAGCTCCATCTGCATTTAGCAGTTGCCAAGGACCCAGAAAAGTGAAGCGACTTGCCCAGGGTCAGTGGGAAGCAAAGTCGCAGTGCTCAGACCAGGGCACAGGCCGCCTGAACCCTGACCGTGTCCCCTCTGCTCCATGCTCCGGGTGCAGTGCAGAGTCCCGGGGCTCCTCGCTGTCCTCCGGCCCTGGCCTTGTGCTGCTCCCCGAGATTCTGTTCTCACTGATCAGGGGCCAGCCGAAGAAAACCCACCAGTCCCAGCGCGACCCCAGCTGAACTTCACATGCTCCCGCCCAGCCTCCTCCCGTTCGGAGCCCCTGTGCCTGACACTAGCCCTGGGCGGCGTGGAGTGCCAGGCCCCTTCCAGCCCACAGACGTTCTCCGTGGCACTGACGGGTTCCCTGGCACCTCAGGGTGCGCCGCTGCCTCTCCCCCAGACTGGAGCTGCTCGTCTTTGTGTCCCCAGTGCCTGGCACCCAGCTGGGGCGGGGACAACTGGGGATGAGCAATGATTACTGGGTGCCTGCCACGACCAGGTGTCATGTTGGGTGTTTTCAGTACAGCCTTGGAAAGAGCTTTTAGGATTAATAAAAATAAAAATTAAAGGGAAGAAGAACTGACCCGACGTTGAGCTCCCGCGTGTGGCTTTAAGCAGCATCGCCTCGGAGACAACTGTGGCACACGACAGTGTCATTCAGGCTGCCGTTTGCCAGGCATGGTGGGCGTTTTTCACTCCTACTTGCCCTGGGCCCTCCCACGGGTCAGCTGCGGTGGCCCAGCCAGCACCGGCCCGTGCGCCTGCCTGCAGAGCCGGTGCCCAGAAACCCCGGGTTCTGTCGCCTCCCCCAGGGGCGTCCGGCAGCGTGAGGCCGTGCGTGGCCCCGGGACCACGTGAGCCTCTGGGCAGTGTGGCGCCAGACCGGCAGGCCACGCTGGTTGTGTTTTCCTCCCAGCTTTATCGAGACACACTTGACAGACATCACTGTGTGTGTTTAACTCGTGCATCCTGCACAACGGTCACGACGGAGGGAGGGTTGTCAGCACCTCCGTCACCTCACGCGGTGGCCTTTCGGTGGTGGGAACATTTCACATCTACTTTCTTAGCAGCTCTCAAGGATCTAACGTGGCCAAGCCGGTCACAGCCACTGTGCTGTGCACAGGTCCCAGAACTTAGTCACCTTCTCGGTAGGAGTTTGTGCCCTTTGACCTACGTCTCCCCATTTCCCCATCCTGGCCCCTGGCACCACCTTCTGCTTTAACTTAGCATAACGTCCTCGAGGTCCATCCACGTTGTTGCAAACGGCGGGATGTCCTCTTTTTTTTTGCTGAATGACATTCCATTGTGTGTGTGTGTGCGCGTGTGTCTGCGTGTGTCTGCGTGTGTAATGTACCATATTATCTCAGATGTGTTGAGGACACGGCAGTTCCTTTATCCGTTCACCCATCCAGGACATTTAGGTGTCTCCATGCCTTGGCTGCCGTGACTAACGCCGCGGTGGGCGTGGGGGTGCAGGGTGTCTCTGGGATAGTGATCACCCTTCCTTCAGACGTGTCCCCAGCAATGGGACTGCTGAGTGAGCGCTGATGATGTTGAGTTTGACCATCACACAGGCAGGGATGAAGCAGAGAGGAGGCGGGGGGGCCGCCGGGTCCCATATGTCCCCGGGAGCCGTGCTGACCTGAGTCCTGGCTCGGGAACTCGGAAGTCACAGGATGTGACACGGAAAGCCAGCGGGCTCAGGGTGACGCGAGCCTGTGTGGGCAGTGTAGCTCCAGACCAGCAGGGGTCCGATTGTTTTTTTCCCTCCCATCCGGCACTCTGACAGGTTGGCACTGGTTGACTTGAAGTTCCTCCGTACTTAAAGAAACCCCGATATTTCTCTAAATAAAATATCAAAATCGAGAATGAGCCCAACTTGCGATGCCCCATTACGATGACCAGTCCTTGCTAACTTGGTGGTTATAACCTCAGAGTATTGCTATTTATTTTTCATATTGTGTGTATATCCTTTTAATAATGATTTGCACTAACATCCTCTTAAAATTTTTATAATTCTCTTCTCAACAGCTTTATTGAGATACGGCACGTCATAGCTGCATGTACTTAAAGTATACAGCTTGATAAGTTTTGACACTGTAGACACCACGAAACCATCACCACAATCGCAGTGGACAGGGAGTGGCCCCTGAGGCTGCCCGGCGTCCCCACGCCGCGCCTCTCCCTGACCTCCCACCCCCGTCCGCGGGCACCCATCCATCTGCTTTCCGTCTCTGCCGATCGGTTGCATTTTCAATAATTTGATATAAATGAATCACATAGTGCATATTTTTTTGATTTATTTCTTCTACTCAGCGTAATGATTCCGCGATCCACCCACATGACTGCGGGTATCAGTAGTTCATTCCTTTTCATTGCTGCCGTGTGTGGGGTATGACGTCTCACAGTTGTTGATCCGCGCACCTGTCGATGAAAGGTTGGGTTGTTTCCAGCGTTTGGACGTGACAGATAAAATAACCACGAACATTCACATACACGCTCTCGTGTGGACACGTGCTTTTATTTCTCTCGGATAAGCACCTTCTTAACTTTTTAAGAAACCGCCAAACTGTTTTCTAAAGTGGTTGGCCACTTGCCCGCCAGCAGCGTACGAGAATTCCGGCCGCTTCACGTCCTCGCCAGTACGTGGTGTGGTCAGTCTTTTTAATTTTAGCTGTTCTAGCCCTGGCATCTCATAAGCATTTCATCTGCATTTCCCCGATGATTCATTTGACACGAATCCCGCATTCCGTTTTGATGAAATCTCTCGGCAAGCTAGGAATAGAATGGAACATCATCCACCTGAAAAGGAACACCTACAGCTGACAGCCTGCTCAATGGCGAAATACGAAATGCTTTTCCCCTAAGACAGGGAATGAGACAAGAATGACCACTCTCGTCACCTATCCAGCATCACAGTGGAGGTTCCAGTCAGTGCAATAAGACAAGAAAAAGAAATAAAAGGCACTCAGATGGGGGAGGAAGAAGTAAAACTCTTATTTATGGATGGCATGTTCATCTATATAGAAAATTCGGTAGAATCTCCAAAACTGCTAGAACTAATAAATGTGTTTGACAAGACGGCAAGATGTAAGCTCACTATATACAAATCAATCGTATTTCTTTTTGTTAGCAATGAAAACTCAGGAATCGAAATAATGCCAACTGCAATAGTATAAAGATATAAACTAATAAGGGATAAATCTAATAAAAGACGCAAAAGACCTGTACACTGAAAACCATAAAACATCGCTGAGAAAAATTTAAAAAGACCTAAAGAAACAGATTATACCCTATTCATAAGTTAGGAGACTCAATATTAAGATATTATTCATATTTAATTGAGGTACAATTATATACAGTGCCTTGCGCTGGTCTGAAGTGTGTGATTCGGTGAGTTTGACGAAGGTGCACACCTGTGTCACACTAACCTTAGAAGACAGAGAACATGTCCACCACTCTAGACAGCTCCCTTTCAGGCCTCCCAGTCGACCCCTGCCCGCCCCCCCGAGCAACTGCCGTTTCGACCCTCTCCTCGTAGATGAGTTTCGCCTATTCTAGAATTTCATGTAAATGGTCGACATCTAATTTATTTTTTAGGCTCAACTGGTTTGCTGCTCGCTTTCCATTCCTTCAACTTCCCCATTTTCAAATTTCGTATTTTAATTCCTCTCCAGACAGTTGATGTGCCTTCAAAGATTCTTTTCATTTTTATTTTTTATTTTTCATTTTTTTATTATTTTATTTTATTTGTTTTTTTTCAAATATTTCTTTCAAAAGGGGCGTGTGGGTGATGTATTTTCTGAACTCCTGTGAATGACAGAGTGACGTTCTGTTGCCTCTGGATGTGGACAGTGACTCGGCTGGCTTAGGATTTGTGACCTGGTTCCACTGCCCGTTAGTGTTTGAAGTTGCAGAGTCTCAGGTCACCTTGACTTTTGTTCCTTGGAAGGTAAACTCCTTTTTTTCTTTTTTTTCTGTCTGGATGCTTTTGAATTTCTTTTCTCTTTTTTTTCCTTTTCTTTTTTTTTTTTTTTTTGGCTTTCATTTTTTGAAATTTGCATTCTGGCAATCTCCAAGGCAGAATGTGGATGTGTCTTAAGAGAAAAAAGTGAGCGTTCATTGGTCCCTGCAAGGCATTCCGGAGTAATGAGATGGAGGTTTAAATGGTCTTGGACGTTCAAGTGCCAGCTGCAGCCTGAAGTAGTCACCTTGGGAGTCTGGGCTCAGACACTTCAGGGGATGTCACCCGCATCAGTGCCCTTGGCAACTCAGCTTTGTTCTGAGGAGCTGGTCTCGGGGATGGCAAAGTCTCATCGCCTGAAAGTGGACTTGGGTTTTGAAAACAGCCAGAGGAAATTCGGTGCTAAGTTCTGGTGAAGGGGACAGGGTGAGGGATGCGCTTTATTTATTTATTTATCTTTGGCTGGCATAAATGGTGCCTGTAACGTGACAACTCTAAAACTTCCTCGAAGCCAGTTCTTAAGAGAAGGATTTTAAGAAGTCATCTTCTCATCCATGCCTCTGAGCTGTGACGAATGGTGGCCTTTGTCATGTTCCCTTGTGACCTGATGGACGGGGCACAGGGAATTTAGCGACTTTTATTGTTGACGCTCAGCAGCTGTCACTTTCGGAGCCTAATTCAGGATCTGGACCTGCCGTGTTGTCTGTCCGACGGGCGAAGTGCCGAGCCCCTCTCTACAGTTTAGAGTTTTAACCCCTTCCTCTCAGGGGGCCCGAGGAGCACCCGGCCCAGGCCGAGTTCCTCGGGAGCCCGAGCCGAGGGCAGCGATGGCTCCCTCAGGAGGTGAGAGGTAGACCTGTTGCCTGCTTCCTGCGTGGTTTTGTCTTAACTGGCTTCCCAGTTTCAAAGCTTGTGGAGGGTCTGTGCTGGGGACAGTACGGGGCTTTCTGAGGGGTCACCAAGACATGCGATGTCATGGAAAGCGAGTATAGTAACAGGATCCAGCCCCAGACCCTTCAGCTGTGGATGAGGAAGCGGGGGCCCAGTGCGGGGCGGTGGTTTGCTCCGGGCCAGGCAGCCGTTGGTGGCAATGCCAAGACCAGGTGCCGGGGCTGCTGAGTCCCCAGCCAGGGCTCGTCCCCTGCCCTTCGTGTCTGAGAGAGCGTGAGCCTGTGCCCTTTGTTGGAGGATGGCAGACAGGACCCAGCTGGAGCCCTCGGGAGCCTGGCCTGGTGCCCTGCCTCCTGGATTTTTCCAGACTTCCCTTAGCGGGTCAGGCCACCTGCCTGTGCCACTTGGCATGTCCTGTTCGGGTGAATCAAGCTGTGCCAGGAAGAGGAGGCCACTTCCCAGAAGGGGACGAGGTGGGGACATGGGTACGGACTTGCCAGCTGTTCCTGAGGCTGGCTGGGGTCCGGGACGAGGAGGGCCCGCCCCGTGTCACGGCGTTTCTGCCCGGGCAGGGACAGTGTCTGCTGGGCGGAGACCTCGCCCGCAGCGTTCCTCTGTCGTGACCGCTCTGGGGAATTTCCAGGCATGTCGGACCTGAGCCAGTGGGAGTTGAGGCCCCTTGGGTCTCCCGTGGGATGGTCGGGAGGGCTCAG